AGCTTTTATTAAGCTAGGCAACGTGATACGGTAGTCGACATGGGGTTTGTACAGTACAAATTTACTTTCAAAATGTTTCAGTTTACGACGACCACTTGGCCGTGAGAAAGTACATAAAACAGACGTTTCACTGTAAATAAAAACAAATCTATCAGTAGCTATTAGAGTTGTTACTTTTAAAGATAGTTAATGACAAGAGGAAAAGATAGTCTCTTCTGCCTAAAATGTTTTTATTTACTGAAGATCTTTCCCAAATATAGTCTGTTAAAGAAGGTATAAATAAAAAGAGTTTAGTATTAGGGAATGGACTAAATTTAAGCTTCGAACACATGGCCCTAGGATTTGAAAGCCAGCCCATTTATGCACCAAACTACAGTTTAATGAAACTGTCCCAAGAACATGAATAGTATCATAACTTGTTGTGGACAGTACTGTCTTGCTAACATCACTTCAGTTCCCTATCTTGCTGTGTACAGTGCTAAGCTCACTTGAGTTGTCCTATACTTCAAACTTAAAATTTAGAAAAGTTATTTTATTGCATCAAACTGAATACAGTTACAAAATATGTTTTAAATATCCAGCACACTATACTGTATGTAGTTCTCAAGTGTATGAATGCTTAATCTATAGATTAAAAACGGGTATAAAGTGCAACATAATGGAAAGAAACCAGCTTCCGTAACATGCTTGATAGTAGCCAGGCACCAACAAAAATTGTTTTAGCTAATGGTTTGCTTACAAAATGAATTGCCATTATAATGGCATAAATTTGTATTATTTTACACTTTCACCAAATACAGCCTAACCAACCCATCCCACCTTCCAAAAAATAAAATGTAAAAATCGCAACAAAAATTGCCTCTCTTCAAACATTAACTATAAAATATTAAAAACAATCATTTACATTGTATATCTGCCTGCTCCCCAGTTTGACATTTTAGTATAGGGTAGAACAAAGAAATGCAATGGGTAGTGAATACTGGTACTATAAAACACTGCTTCCCATTGCCAACATAATGTAACACTCTTTTCTACATTTTTCTTCGAGTAGACAAAGTATCCCCTTTCACTTATGTTTTTACTGACGCGCTGAAAATTTACACAACATGCATTTCAATTTGCAATGTCTTAGATATTAAATTTACATCCTATAGACAAGACACACAAAATACCTACCCTTACCTGACCACAAACCTATGGTATAACTTGTACTGGATGACATGTTAACATCTTTACAAAGCAAATATTAATCAGGCTACAAATTTGTCTTCTGCAGTTGATAAATAAACCTGCTAAAATAAAGTCATTTGATAAAAGAAAACACGAGAGTTTAAAGGTTACAAACAAAATCTCCTACATAATAACCCCAACATTTAACGAGCTACAGCTTACTTAGCCAGATGAAGTATCCTGTTAATGCGTTTATGATTAAATTCTTATTATGAATAAAAGCTATCAGTGCAAACGCTAGTGGCGCTTTAACTTTTGCAGTATGGACATTTTGTCTAACTATATGAGAATACAACAGCTTTATTAACTTGGAAGGCAACAAATTATCAATACAGAACATATTAAGTTATAATGGTTAGTTTTGTAAAACTTTAACCAGTTTTAACTGAAAGGTGTTGGAAGCTAATGCCGAGCTGCTATATTAGGTCTTCTTGAAGATAAATCGCAGCCTATCTGTATCTAGAAACATATGTATCAGCAATAAATATTGTGAAATCTTTTGGAGCCCTGTACATTAAAACCAGATTTTATTCCAAAAATGTTCTAATAAAACTATTCAAAATGAAATGCCAACAACATTTTTACCAATTTTTGATTTTGTGACAGCAAGAATTGTACTGAAATTATAATTACTGTACTTCTGGAATGACTAACAAGTTTTAATTTCTTTTAAAAGTAAAAACAGATATTGGAAATTAAAGTGCTATACAACACTGCCGTCGTCGCTACCTATAAAGTTAAGTATTATTATTCCGGTATTCCAAAAAAGTCTTATATAGCTAGTTATCTTAAATGATTTACCAATGGCAAAAAAAATCCCCCTCCAATGTATTGTGTAGAGAGCACGCTTACTTTAAATTTAGCATTTAAGAACATTATAACAAAACACTGCACTATTAAATATAATGGCCTACTGTATTAAAGAAATGCATCTTTTAAATGATAGTGGAAGGACTACAGTATATGTAGACTTACCACAAGTCTCTTATTTTTAAATATTTTTCTGGACAGCGCCACCAACGAGAAAGTTAATTTAGAGACGGAATAAGCGACTTGTAAAACACTGAATGCAGGCACCAGGATGCCAAAAGAATGACGTAATTTTATATTCCGTATTTGGATAAAAGGGCGGATCGAAATAAAGAAATTTGACCAATCAAATGTTCATATTTTTGGAGCCATGAAACTGAGTCACTCGCATTGACTAGTTAGGCATAGACTAAAAATAGTCCTCCCTAATAAAACGGGCCTAAAATATTTAAAATAGACCCTAGTAAGACTAATTTTGGCAATGGCAAAAACAATTAAGCTTAGACTAGATGGCATACCATTACAAATAACTTTCCAGGAGGATGGCTCAGATCTCTGGAGTAGTAGGCCTAGTCTAGTTGAGGCTTGACCTATTTTTAAGTTCTTAATTACAAGGGCCTACCTTTTCAACAATATTTTACCCTATCCTAAAGGCCTAAATCTGTGTAGCAGCTAGCGGTGAGCAAGGTTCTGTAAGTACAGCCTACTATACGGTTATCAGTCCATAGTCGTTCTCAGCAGGCCAGGACTATATACTGTTTTAATTCAAGTAGGTAGGCAGAAGGGAGCTGGTTAGCTTGAGACATCCGCATCTTCAATTTTGAAAAAATTAATTAATATGCATGAAGTAAGCCAATCACGTGATTTACAAAATCAGTCATGCATATGATATCCCACATCAAATTTGATGTGGGAAATCGTACGCATGAATCGTTTGCCCAGGCCCTAATCCGAAAAAAAAAAATGAAATCGAGTATGGGACGCCAATTAAATTAGGTATGGCTAGCACTAAGTGCAATAAAAAGTGAATAACCCAAAATTAGGGCCTGGAACCCAGGCTACTGTATTTGTAGATTAATATACAAATGATGACGACATAAACCTAGCCACTGAATTATGCAAACAATATTATTAGACATATTTTGACACTAGTCAAAAGTTATGTTTATTATTAGTATATCAATGTTATAGACCATTGTGTAGGGTATATGGCCAGGCACATCAATAATTAATGTTTGGTTCTGTCTTTAGCTTATGGTAGTCCTCTTGCCACCTTTGTCAGTGGAGTTTGCAAGTGGTACAAACCAACCTCAGTCAGGGTCCTGGAATTAAATCCATGGTGGGTTTTCATAGGTGCAGTTTTATGGTTACTATAGGATGCCTAAAATTGTGCACAATTTGGGATTGGCATATATATTTTTAGTCCCGACAACCCAACCTTGTCATGACATCAAACAACAAGGTGAAGAGGAATTACTATTCTGACCCCCTGCTTTTGATAAATTTCAATATTTGTTCCAAATTATTAATGAATATTTTATAGGCCACTCAACTGGTTGTAATAAACTTGTATCACAAAGTGGATATGGGCACAGCCCATATGCCGAATAACATACGTACCTGTAAAAGATTTAAACTTTAAATTGTCACAAACAGTGCTGAGTAATTTGTAGTTTTCCATGTTCTTATTCTTGGAGAACAGCATCAATTATCGATTTTTCTATTGTCTTGGGACATCCATCTAACTGTTCATATTTTCTATTGAAAGTATTCTTCAGATAGTGCTGTACTATCCAGGCTTTCAGTTCAATAATACTGTATTTTGATTCAACAATTGCCACTGAAGTATCCACTGTATACACATGTGGTATGCAGAACTTCTATGCACACAGCACGGAAGCTTTTTACTCAACTATTGCCGAGCACTGCTTCATCCAATGGTAGTATTCTCAGATGGGGTACATGTGTATATGAACACATGAGGTATGAACTTTGCAAAATACAGAGCAGGATTTTATAGACAAGTACGGCTTCATTCACAGTGGTATTCAGATTGGATCCTTAGTATCCATGTGAACTGTAGAATTGATTCTAAACATCTATATAGTTTTTGTTTTGTTCACAGGACATATCCAGTTGGTGTTTCTTCATCATCACCACCATACAGCAACTCATCACTTCTACCACCATCTCATACCAATACACCTATAAGTATTGGGCCTATTGAAAACTCTTTGTAAGCATCATAAGATCCTTCATACAATTTTATCAATTATTTTCAGCAAGTTTAAAATCGCTATAATTATAACTATTATCCTGTTTATATCTCCAACTAATGTATTAAATGATATTTTATTACACTAAAAAAAAACATTTTAATTCTTATTTAAAACCGCATTTTTATTTTTATTTATAATACCAGTTTACCATTTTTTAAATATTGAGCTGTTTTTTTGTTTTCTACTTATTTATCCTACAAAATGTTTGTATAAAACTGTAGGTTATGTAGTAACTTTTAGAGTTAGAGTTAATTTTTAATTTCATCTATTATCCAGTTTAAATAAACCCTATTTTTAAATTTTTACTGTTACTGTTAGTATTATTCATCTTACAGTATGGAACTGTTTTTATAAAACAAGGTGCTCAGTTCATCTAGTTCAGTTTTTTTATAGAGCACCTATGTGCCATCAGTACTGGCCTACGAGCATAAAATTTTATGTAAACAGTGTGGTGATGGAGTTTCCTTGCATAGACGGTTTCTATTCTTGCTTTAATATTTAAAGTTTAATGTAGGATTTTATTTGTCGTTAATACAATGCATTTAAATTTTGATTTGAACTACTAACATTTACATATATTTCCGAAAACAGGAACTGACTTATAGATTTATCATTTTTACTAATTACAGTTTATACCACATTTAGTGTAGGAAACAAAAAAAATGTTTAAAATCTGGAACAGAAACTAATAGCAACTGAATTTATTTACAAAACATGGCTTATGATGACAACTCAATAATGAGAACTTTCATGATGTAATAATTCAAACCATAATCTTGAATCAATACCACAAAACCTACCCACGCTCAAATACGACAAAGAAATTAAAAAACAAAACACGTTTCTGCATCTCATTATCAACGTGTTGGTTAAGAACCTTATCAGATAGGATAATAAAATTGAAAACCTTTGTGGGAGATTTTTTTTTTTTTTTTAAGATTCAATATTAACGTCTATATTGTGGTATGCTTAGGAAATTTAAGATAAACAGTGGTTATGGAAGCAACTAACACATTTAAAAGCGCACAAATTTTAAACTTCTACAATCATTATTTTAACTGCCATAAAAAATAAACATACTTTAAACACAACTATGCTAGTTCACGACCCTGGAGTCTGCACCATGGTATAAGGATTTAAAATTGCTGTAAACACGAACCTAATTAAAATCCCCAATTATGTATATATCATTTTTTTTATGATTACATTATTTCTGTTCCTTCATTATCATTACATTCAATTAAGAAGTCTAAAGTTGAACAGTATTATCAATTTACAAATCATGATGCAACAAAGTCCTAGTATAACTGTAGGCCGTACAGTAGTCTCTCACAATTATCTTCAAAAGCAGAATACTATCATCTTGTCACCCTCTAAAAGCGACGGGCACGCTTGAACGCCACATCGGGCTCACGGTCTCCACCACCACGTCGTCCACGCATGTCATGAGGGCTACCACCCATGGGACCACCGGGACCACCTCGCCCAAATGGCTGTGGTGGTTGGTCAAATCGGCTAGCACGCTGTATATTTAGTTATAGTTCAACAATGGACAGAGTTTGTGGGATTGTCAGTGAGTTTTTTAAATAATCGTATTCAATATCAGATGAGCATATCAGCAACGTATTTGAAGAAAATCACAGTTGATCCGCAGCAGACAATTTCAATGCATGGAGGGAAAGAGAAATTGAACATCATTAAGTATATTACTTAACAAGTAGCAGTTGATGCTTATTAGTGGTTAGAAGAATCTGTGAAAAAGATGATCTATTAAACATGAACACAAATTTGAAATATCATCAATTCTTGTGACAGAATAGCCAGACCTTTATCCCTTAGGGTAATACTATGGTAGGTAATAATAATAGCTCACAATAGGGATGACATAATGTATTTCTACTATATTCTTATACATGGCACAACAGTATTGCTGCTAATCACACAGATACAGTAAGGCATGTTGTGCTGTTTTAATTTATGGGTTGTTGGAAACTCAACTATGACTACTTGGATACGGATGTATCATAAATATAACAAAGGATTGCATGTCCACAGATAAACTGGGTTTTAAAGCACAGGGAAACAGATGAAAGCCACTGATCACAGCCTACGTTGCAATACACAGTACTGTACATCAAAAAAAGAAATCTAAATGAGCTTTATAAATTCCTTTACAGTATATGAAAGCAGTGACAAAAATTAAAATGGTTACTAACAAGATTTATCTTTGATTAGTTATAAATGTACAAGAAATAATACGCCTATTATATCATAATCAGGCACGAAAGACTCATCAATATATAATGTAAAGTGTAGTCAGTATTCACAGTAGAAAAACATCCATGTGCAAAGAAGAGAGCTTAAGTACTACATATTATATGAAGTTATTTCCGAAAATGCATTAATACTGATGTTAAAGGATCGTACCATTCCACAATCAGGTGCTTATGTTGTAAGCTGCACATATTAAAGCATCACGTCAACTACTAGTTAAGGTCTAGGCCTAACAGAAAAGCTTTTACTGTCCTAAGTAGTTAACATTTAAGTGCAAATTACTGTTTATTCACGGAAAGCAATCCATTTTTAAAACAAAACTTGGCTATATGCGATACTGTAAAAACTATAAATTCATTTATGCTCTTGCAACATAATGAACAGAAATATTTTAAAGTGTTTATAACTTCATGAATTAGCTTGATGAATATAGTACTGATAATTTATGCACGCATATGCGCATACATTTACCTGGGGGGGGGGGGTAGCTATTGGTAAGTGAAGTTTGCATCTGTGCTAACTCCCATCTGTCTTAAGTTTTATATTTCTCTATGAGAATGTGAATTCTATTGCAAGGCATTTTAAACTAAATAAAGAAAGAATGAGTGATTATCTGTAGTCCCATGTTACACTACAGTATACACTATTAAAACATTCAACATTTAATCTTGGTAACAATGATGTTGTTTCAGCCTCAGATAGTGTTCTATTGGACATTAAGTTCAAACAAACATCTTTAGCATGTCACTTATTTGTGTAACAATGTCTTAATGAATAGTAATGAGTAGGGTGAGTCAAATTTATCAGATTATTAATAAAGACAAAACTATTATTAATAAAGACAAAACTACTAAAACACCTACTGTACAAAACTCAGTGGCAGATCCAGAAATTCAAAATAGAAGGGGAGGTACTTTCTCATATAGAGGATCTATACCACCTCAGCACCAACATGGTTGCAGATCAGGTAAGAAAATTTGTGATTATGGCACCTCTAGATGGCCAGAAATTGTAGCCAGACTTAAAATTTGAATATAATTCTTTATATCTCCATCTCCATTAAAAAAAATTGTTAATGATTTCGGGGGATCCGGGGCAGCTGGGCCCCTTGAATCTACCACTGGAAACAATGGGAGCGGTTTAGTATCTAAATCATTCAAACATGACCACAAGAATATAATGCCACAAGATTCTGACAAAAAATTGGCCTTTGATCAATTAATTGGTTGTTGCTGAGTGAACAACATTTGGATTTGAATTGTGGGCTAAACAAAATTTGTTAAGTGGGGCTATAGATAATAAGGAAAGTACAGTCCTATTCTTTTCACTTTGATGATAATCATTTTCACAATGATGTATATCACATGATAACATACAAACACACTGTCATCCATAGAGTGGGTTTATTAATGATTCAGTAGAACTGGTTTTATTTATTTAAAGACTATACTCAGTTATGCCCTTAAAAGGTAACACCAAAATCTATGACGCTGCATTTGTGTATATTAGATGGAAATACATATTGTTTTCTACTATTTTATAAACTTGTATCAATATTTTATAAACTTGTATCAACCGACACTGTAGGCCTGTTACAAATTTATTATGATGGTATAGACACCTATTTCCCATGTGCTTAAAATTTTACATGCAATCTCTCCATTCTATTTTAATATGTTGTGTTACTTCACAAAAAAAAGTGGTACAATCTAAGAAAATGTATTCTTCACTATATCACGTTGGTAGACAGTAAGCAACTTGTTAAAAGAATGACTGTACAAGCCTCATTGATAATGGTTGCTATAGTAACAGTCTTGTATGTAGTAGTAGTAGCAGTAATGCTACTGTTTATACTAGAAAAAAAAAACACCCATTAGGGTAGTCTGGCATATTCTTTGTGTCACAAGAGATAAAAATAGATGTCACTGATAACACATGTTTAGATGCTACAGTTTGAAGTATCTGTTCATCAATTAAATTTAATCACAATACTACTGACTTTGAACTGGTTAGAATGTAATGTTCCAAAATAGACACACATGATGATAAAATCTGAAGCATCTTAATGCTCCTCGGCTTTTCAACTTCGTACTTAATACAGAATCTTAAAAATCGTCTCAGCAGTTTCTGTACTTCACTCGCATCCAATAGTTGATTCAATATTTACTCTTATCCTCTGCCACCATACAAGATATTTTAACCAATTTACTATCAAATTATGATTTTTAGCATGAAGCTTATTATCAATTTAACATTAATAAATGCTTTGCATCATGTGCACTGGTTTGAGTAATAAATGTATTTTTTCATCATAACCAAATTCATCAACAATCTTGAAAACATCCATTACGCACTCACACAATACGAAGCAATATTTCAATTGCAGTCTAGTACATTTGCAGCAGCTCCGAGATAATAGTTAATACACATTGTGCTAAGAAAAATGAAGTCATCAATTAATCATATCCTCATCTCTCCATTGGGAAAAGAAACCTACAAACCTCGAGTACAATCAAAGCTTGCATTTCCTGAACAAAAAGCTTTAAACACTAAAACCTTGGCACTGAAATTAGAAGATTCACATTTCATCCACTCATCACTACTATACAACATTCACAGCATAGCATTAGTTATTAGCAAGCATTTCTTGGAAGCAAATGAAACACATCTCCTCTGCAGACGCTCAGTGTACTTCACCTGAATTCTGAACATCATCAACACCACACACACACAATTTGTATCACACTTTCTTCTCTCATAGTGATGACAAGTACATGTACATACCGACGGCATTCCACCTGGTCCTCCTGGCTGCATTCCTTGGGTGTTCCCCATTGCTTGACGTCCATTTGGACCTGGACCACCAGAGCCCATACCTACTGGTCCTTGACGGCCATTAGGTCCAGTTGCCCCCATCATGTTCCCTGCATTGTTCATGCCACCAGCTTGACCACCTGGTCCCATAAGGCTTGGTGGTCCCATGCTATCTCCCTAAAAAAATTTTTTTTAATTCAATAAAATCAATGAAATGCACAACAGATTTATTATCTATTTTATAAAATTATCAGAAATCCATACAAGAACTTCAATAAATTTTTCTCATTGGCATACGTAATTTTCTTTAAAATGATTTATCTGAAGGACTTGAAAAGCTTCATGACTTATAAACCTATTATAACAAAAACACTTGTAAAATGAAATATATAAAAACAAAAAAAATAACTGTCGGTTTACTATACAATCAACGTGATTTTGTGTACATAATGAACTTAAATCTTAATGAATGGCAAAGTTCAAAAAGTTTGGGTTACGGAAGTGTAACTTTACCTGCATCATTGCAGTTTCGCCCCTTCCCATCATGCTTGGATCAACACCCTGAGCACGACGTCTCATATCATCCTGCCGACGACGAGTTACCTCCTCCTGACGTTGCCTCATAGATTCCAATTCCTGGTTGCGCAATTCAGAACGCTGACGGAATTCTTCCTGCCGTCTTAAAAAGTACAGTAAAATTATTAAATAACATGTAAAAAAATGGCAAAGCTGTCTAAAAAAATTCAAGCACAATACTAAAAATGGACATGACATGTCAGTGCCGTTGTAATTAGCTCTAAACATGAGTGGATTTTAGCCATGTTACAAAACACCTCATGTTATTATTACAGTCCCCATGTCATGCCTGGTGGCAGAGGCAAGTTTTTAATTATTTTCACAGCCATGTATTAGCAGCCACTTTGTGGAATGCCCTCCCAGAACACATTAAGAATTCTGATTCAATTTTCACTGCTAAAAACACATTTCTTCACTGAAAGTTTTGAAAGTTGCCTCTAAATTCCTTCTGCCACTTCACATAAGAAAGGACAAGAAAAGTAAAGATCAGGAACATCTGAAGGGAAAGGAAGAAAGAGAAGAAGCAAAAGGGAAAGAAAAATGAAAGGATTTGGGATGAATAGGAAAGTAACAGGCCTTGAAATGATTCCAAATACCAAAGCATTGTAATAACAACATTCATCGATAATCATCAAACCAATCATTTGAACTTAATTATTTCTTCTTCTCTGTTGTTGTTAAGCGCCTCGAGGTTGTGTCAACGTGAGGCGCTATATAAATCCAGAATTATTATTATTATATTATCTTATAATTACTTAAATACTATGCTGTATTTCATATGCTGTTATGACCTACAGTATGACCTGTTAGTTTTTAAAATCAGAAACAAGAAATATAAAGTGTAATTATTTAAAATCAGAAACAAGAAATATTAAGTGTAATTATTTAATATAACTGATTCTTACCTTTGTTCAATCTCCTTGAAGTTCTCTTCCATTCTTCTCAATTCTTCTTGTCTACGTTGTAAATCTAAAGAAGCAAATTAAGGAGGTTACATCATCGTATATTCACAATCTTTACAACAATCGTTATATTCTTCCAAAAGAAATTTAATGGTTTACCTTGTCTCATCATGATGGTTTGGTGTTCATAACGGGCCCCATCCATCTCAGACTCTAGTTTTTCCCTTCTCTCTTCAAACTGTTTCTCAAGTTGTTCCCTCTGGGATGTCTCCAGTTCATAGATCTCCTTCCATCTCAACCCCCATTCAAACTCAAACGAGCTTGGTGGTGCGAATCTTGGTTGACCATCACGTTCTCTATAATTGAAGACAATGTGTTTTAACAGGACCAAACTTGTGGCCATGAATCTGAAATCCAACCTTGAAACCTAGATGCTGAAATACTGGGATGTGTCCAGTGTGGGACAGTTTTACCATAATTAAGTGACTATTCCCTTTTATTTTCTTATTGATTTGTATCTTAGTACATCAAACCACCAAACTTCATGTTGCTTTGTTATTATGACAAAGTTTACTCTACTTAGAAATGCATGTAGCAAAAACAATCTTACAGGAACAAGACATTCATTTTTCTATATGCAGAATTTATACTAGGATTGCCTGAATAATTAACAAAATACTTGATGTGGAGTCATGACCAACCTCTGGTAATTCTGGTTCTTTGAAAGGTTTTTCTCAGGTAAACCATCTTCTTCATCTTTTTGTTCCAACACCTCAACAGATATTGGTCTCAGGCAACTGTGAAATAGTGAAGAGGCTATTTTAGGCTTTGGTTAACAAAATCATAAAAAAAAAAAAATTATGCCGTCCAGTGTTCTCCCCAGGATGAGAGTCAAGCATCATGGTACCTGCTTCGAACTGCTTGGCAAGTCAAAATTGTGACTAAAACAGGCCAGTAGTATTATAGCAGAACGTAAATTTTACGTACATGTCAAACCAAGGAAATTAGTTGTTTGTACAAAATTCATTTTTAATAGGCATAGGCTTACGTACTATTGTGTGTGAATCGTCTCGTCTTCCTTATCTACCTATTCGTTTAGAGTAGGCTAGCCACTTAAGCCTAGCACTAAGCAGACCAGCCCTAGCTAGATAGCTAAAAAAACATCAGCCATGTAGGCTGCCTACAGGCCTCGAATTTGGGGATTTTATGGGCAAGGCCAAATGGCCTCCGGTATGACATGATTTTGAAAGGCACCAAGGCCAAATGGAAAGGCACCAAGGCCAAACTTTCAAGTATAAAAGTGCACCCAAGGCAAAATTTGATTTAGCCTCAGTACTAATTTCTCGCGAGTGCCTTGATTCGTCGGTAGCCAGGCTAGGCAAGCTAGGCCTAGCCAAGCCATAGTTGTCAATGGTAATATTACTTTGTTTAGAGTATTCTATTAATTATCGATTCAATGTTGGAACAAGAAGTTCGATATCTTTGTGCTGTTGCTCAATCCGTCGTCATTGGAGAGGAAGCCACAACTCCTCTAAACTGGCCGCGAAAGCTGCGATGACGTAAGATCGCACAAAGTTAGCTGTGCAGCAAGCACACGTTTTACAACTATACAAAGGCCGTATTCGACTGGTCGTTCTTCGTTAAACCACGCCCAACTGCGGCTTATGCTAGCTTAGGTGACCTACGTTTTTGGCTTTCATGTTTTCTTTCAAGATTTAAACGTTCTTACTTAGATTTATTTTACGTGTCAAACGATCTATATTAAACATCATGAGGGCACCGAGGCCAAGGCTTCAAAAGGGCAGGCAAGTAGTGGCCGTCGTCGTGCTTCATTTTTCAGGGGCACCAAGGCCAACTGGGAGGGCACATCGCTGTCAAGAAGTACACGTGGTGAGGAAAATCCAGATAGATCGCTCTGGGCATGCACATGGACATGCATGGGCAGTTTTGTAGCAAACATTTTGCGTGAATCAAGCTAAGGATGGTGTTTTAAATGAAAGTGACATTTCTCATGGTAAAGATGATGAACTTGGGCTGATAACCCAACTTCGTACGATGATGCTGTTTTGTGTTAAAAAGTATTTATACACTCACTCAGTAGGATACATGGACAGCATTGTTTATTTTGAATTATTTTATTAACGATATTTTAAAGCGTCACGAAAGACGCATCAAGCATCACGGCCAGCTTGGGAGCGTCACAGTGAGGTCCCGAGCGTCGCGGTACCGTGACGCTTCAAGGGCCTGGGGAGAACACTGCCATTTGTTATGCTAATCAACAAACATGAATACACAGCATACATACAGCACTGCTATAATATAGTACTTCACAAAAAAGAAAGCATTTGTTAAATTAATGGAATGCTTTAAATTTGTTGGCCTATGTTTTTTTATTAATTTGGACAAGAATATTTTCCCCATATCAATGCAAAAATTAAATGTAGATCCTTTAGTGAAAACTAAATACAGTGCCTTGAACTGTGTCTTATTGGAAGTTCAGAATCTATTTGAATACAGGCTGAGTACTTTTAAATGAGTATCAATATTTTTTTAAAGATTTAAATCAATAGTATACAAAAATGAAGCTAGTTTATACTGCAACTTACGAGGTTAGTAGAAAAACTCCATCCTTAATCTTGGCCAGTGCATTTTGTGCACCTGGCTTGCGGGCAAACTCAACGATACCTTCACCAGTCGCTTTCCCCCTGTCATCTACTATAACAACAGCTCGTTCCACAATTCCAAACTGCGAAAATGCATGTTCCAGGAGCTCATTTGAAACCAGAGGAGGCAAGTGCTTGACTTTCAGGGCAGCTCCATGAGTAGCGAATCGGACTCGAAGCTGTCGTCCCTTGCGAGTTGTTCCGTCAAGTGCAGCTTTAGCTGCTTCAGCATTTTGCCTTGTATCCTTTTGAAAAAATATGAATTACAAAAAAATTGTAGTTAAACCAAGACCTGTATTTTATGACCATAATATTTAGTATTTAGGTACTCTATGCAAAAGATTTTTATTTGCATACAGTACCTAAATTGAAAAATTTAAATTTTTGAGTAAAAAATAACTAAAATCATAACTACTGGACTGCTCAATTCATTGGTTTTCTGGAAAATTTGCATGATAAAGTCCGTATTTTTTTTAATGCACTGCGACGCATCATTATTGGTAAATTCTGCTTATTGCAGCAGGTCCTATGATGAGTTAAGTAATTGCAGTTGCACTGCAACTATACAGACCTTATTTTACAGATTGATTCCACATTGTTAAAAATGCAAATTATTTAATTTATAGTGCACTAAAATTTGGAAATATGTATGGAAGCAAAGAACTTAAATAACAGAAGAATGAGCAGTTCCATATATTGCATCAAATCGATAGAGCTCCCCTAAACTACAGGAAACGAACCCGAGCGGCACCTTTATTATTGATATAGGGGCCTAGGCTATATAGCGCCGCCATGCAGATGGGGTAAAATAGCTCTCTGTGTTCGAAATGCATTGTGGGTCAATGCATTTTGAACGATGTTCCACTGTATTGAGAAGGTGATCTAGCCTACAGTATCTTCTACTTATTATCTTTGATATAACGACGTAAACTTCTACACAATCATCAGTAAAACATCATTCATATGATCTCTAGCCTTGGTGGTCCTAGGCCCCTAGGCCATAAAAAAGCAAAGGATTTTTTACAATTTAAATTTAATTTATGAAAAACCAAAAAAACTTACAAGTCGAATAAAACCAAATCCTCTTTGTTTGTTCAAGAAAACTTCTGATATTTCACCATACTTCTCGAACATTTTCTTGAACTCCTCATCTTCAATATCATTTGTGAGATTTCCAACAAACAACCTGCACCTCTGAGTGAATTTTTTGTCTTTTTTAACAGTTTCATCGAAATTTAATGTGTTCAATGGAAGGGGAGTTTGATTGTCTTGTTGATTTCCAAACCTCTGTCCCATTTGCTGATTGCTTTGTCTTTGTCCACCGCTTGGTCTCTGCCCACCGTAGCCTCCACCGCCACCTCCTTGGTGCTGTTGCCTACCGCTACCGCCGCTGAAATTTCCACCACCTCCTGATTGTCTTCCGCCGCCATATCCACCACCACTCGAGCCTTTTCCACCTTTGTTGAAATTTCCGTCTTTATTATTACTACTATTACTACTCCCCTTACCTTTAGGTGTTGTACGTTGCTGGCTGCTTTTAGTTGATGGGCTTTCGGCTTCCTGTTTTACGTTAGCCATTTCACTAGAAATTAGTAATAATTACACAAAATGAGGATAAAATTGACTCGGCTAAAGAACAACAGACACTTAAAATGGCGTTGAGGTTTCAGTAAGTGACGCGTTCTTCGATAGCGTGGAGTTCAAGCGCGAGGCTGTACAACTAATTTGCATATAATTAATCATCGGTTCATTGTCGAACGAAATTATCCGAGACAAAGAAATCAGGCCTTTGTTGAAACTAGGCCTGGACACTATATCAAAAATGTTCTTATTTTAATAAATTTTACGCTTTATTTTTCTTTAAAAATATGAAAATGAAACAGCTTGGAAAACATATTCCGAGTAACTAAATCGTGAATGTATTAATTCCCGGAGACGCATGTCTTATGAATAATCATTAGTTTAGGATCCCTATTTGCATAGTGTTCGAGACTCGAATACATTGTGTTGTGGCGGATCAGCTTGAACCTTTAAGTTCGATGAATGTGATAGGTAAGCGTGATCCATTTCAAAATACTAAACATGAGGGCTTTAGCATGTAAGTCATTTCATACAAATGTAGTCCTTATGTTAACTCATTGTAGTTCATTACGAACATGCTGTGTTATAAATGATTTGTGATACGTTCGAATGTCATTCACGATTGGTTGGCTGAGCAGTGTTGGTTGAGTCGGACAAGCGCACAGGCAGTCGCACACAGTCACACCAATTCAATCTCGAATCTCTAGCCTTGTGTGTGTGTCGACTGAAATATAACCACAATTTTTAATAATAAAAAATATACATATTAATCATTTAAATGTAAGAGGCAAATATTTTTTTGACGAAATGAATTTCATGATGTCGAGTAAAGCAAAAGTACATTTCTGGTAATACAGTACACGGCATATTGAAAATCAAAAGTAACCCACCGCAGTGCTTAGTTTTCAATCTTCTAACGTGTTGAACTTGCAGCAGTGTCCATTATGAATATTCATAGATTTTGTTGACTGGAAAGTTTTGTGCTTAATTTCTTAACTTACCTAAAGTTACATTCACTAAATACACTCAAACAATCTATTTCCTAATGAATGGTAATCAAAATGGACATTTTTATATAATTTAAATGATACAATTAGAATACACAAGTCCACATCTATTGCAATGGATGAAAAGGCAGCCTCATGAATATGGAAGATGATGAATAATTATTTAAATTAGGAAGCTGTTCTTGCTCTTGTACAAAATGGCTGCCTAAAAAAATTTCATCTTCACTACTACTACTGCCAGAATTGGATTTATTTTAGTAGACAAATGAAAAGCATCTAATAAATCTGTTGCAACTAATGCCAATGTTTTAAGCTAACATTCAGAGCAGTTAATACTGGTATTTAATAATAATTGAATTTAGAAGATTGGCTTGTGAAAAGTAATTTATTTATGTTAAAGCAATGCAAGCTTGACTGATTTGAAATTCCAGTTCTGAAGCCATTGCACTTGTTAATTTTTATGCAAATTTGTGTGATATTAAGCATAGCAGATACCAATCCACACACATAATATCCAGAGATAGCCATTCTGTTTTTTTAAATATCAATATTCATATGGTACATCAATTCTTGGTTTAACTTTGCCAAACCCCACAGAATTTGACATCAGTTCTCATTGCTGTCTGTAGAATATAACTAAATAATGAATCTTTTCTCATTAGGTACCTCGTATACAGTACCTCTAAATGAGGTAAAAATAATTATTTAATTTTAATTTTCTAAATTTTTACAGCAGTGGGATGCACTAATATGCCAAAAATAAATTATATTTTTTATTTGATTTTAAAGTAATTGATGGACAGCAGCCTTGTGAAACAACGTATACAAAATCAAATCTAACCTTGATTATCTTTGTGTGCCAGCCTTTGGTGTAGATGTAACATTGGTCACTTCGTGAATTTTAAAAATGGCCAGTCATTCCTCCTTTGTTTTCAAGAATCCCAGACAAGATTTTTTTTGTTATTTTAAATTTGGCCTAATGTTCAAAACATAGAAATAATAATGATTTTAAGCGCAAAGTGCCAGAGCTTTGATGAACATTGAAAAAAAAAGAAAAGAAAAACCACTTCAAGATTGGGCAGGGTTGATCATCTGATTTCTAAAAGAACGACATACAGAACTGTACTGTACAATCATTTTCATTTCACCCGCAAGTTCCCTTTTAGTATAAAAAAGAACCCCCCTATCAAAATCCTGGCTACGGGCTTGAAGGGAACACCCTAATCATATTTAGGCCTATATACAGGGGCAGCTCTAGGATATAATTTATGGGGGGGCTAAGATGTCCAACTGGGGGGGGGGGCCTAATGTAAATATTGTTGGGTGCAACTACAGTGCGCAGCGTTATCTGGGAGGGGGTGTTCCCTCCTCCCAAAATGAGATTTTTTTTAAAAATTGGGACTTCTAGATGGCCGGAAATGGCACTGTCAGCCTTGAAAAGTACAAGTTGATAATTAATGTTTATTACAGTACCTACTTGGATGAGAAAACTAGGCCTAATTTTTTTTTTTTTTTTTTTTGGTCCAACTGCCCAACAAGCTTTGGCCAATGGGGGAGCTTGACCAGACCCATGGGGGGGGCTTAAGCCCCTCTGCCCCCGCTGGCGCCTCCCCTGCCTATATTATATAGTAGGCATAGGCGCTTAGGCATTGGTCTTTACCTCAAGCTAGGCCAGCCTTAATTTTCCCAAACTTTCTTTCTTCATGTTGTAGGTTAGTTTTTGCCCAACAACAACCAATCCAACCAAACACACCCATCACAACGAAGACTGCCCACTTTTTTTAGTGCATTATGTAACAAGTTATTTTTAGCAGCGAGAGTCTCTGTGGAACATGCAAGTCTTCATGCTGTGAATCAACGATCCGATCAGCCCACCGCGGTGTTGTCTATTTTTAACCGCAGTTAGCGAGCTGTTTATTTTTAGCGACAGTAAACAAGTTTAAAGAATGGGCTTTGCATTTTCAACTTTACGGTGATCCCAATGTCTGATCTAATCCATTGGGAGAGTTTATAGTCTATCGAATTCGGAGCCAATTCCTTTATAATTTGTGAGCATTTGTTTCTTGCAAAGTTTTTTATACAGTTAAACTAAATGATGCAACAAAAAAAATTAATTAATTAAATAATTAAAAAAAATAAAATTATTCCCGCATCAGTATTTCCAAAATTGTTGACACGGGAGGGAGTGATATCTATTAAATTTTTCTGTTTGCCCTTAGTGCGAGTTGTTTTTGGGTTGCCTCTAATGAAAACAATATTCATGAATAATTTTTAAAATAATTTTTTTCAGCTTTTAAACAATATGGAATTTGAAGGAAGTAGTGATACCACAGGGAAAGCTGTGATTGAAAATGGCACCCCCACTGAGGATGAACATAATATTTGTGATGATGTTCTCGACAGTGATGCCAAATACCATGAGGAGAAAATGGACATTTCCGAGGAAATGGATATCTCCGAGAAAATGGATACCTCTGAGAAAATTGACAACCCTGAGAATATAGACATTCCTCTGAAAAAAGACATCCCTGAGAAAATGGATACTTCTATTCAAGAAGCAGAAAGACAAACTTTCGCAGTGGAAAAAGATGTCATCAAAGAGGGAGACAACACTACTACTACCTCAAGTGAAACCGATCCGAACCATGAGAACACTGAACAGAGCAAACTCAGTGCATCAGTAGCAGAACAGTCTGCTGTTTATATGACAATTAAGCCAGACCCTCATCCAGAACCTATGGATTCCAAAGAGGATGAGAAACCTGGAGAACCATTAAAAAATCAGCAGAAAGATACTACTGAAGAAAATACTGGGGAAAATTTACCATCGGTAGAAAACCAGAGGGATGTATCCATTGTAGAGTCTACTGTAAAAGATGCCACGGAGGAACATGCTGTACTTCAACAAGAAATTCTAGATATAGAAATTAAGAAAAAGGCATTAGATGAAGTTATCAATGAGCAGAGCAGTTCTGACAATCAATCGACCAAGGGATTAGAGTCGGAGGAAACCAAAGATACGGAATTCAGCATGGAAACATCACAAGATACTAAAGATTCCAAAGAGGGCGAGAAACTTCCTGAAGAACCTTCAAAAGACCAGCAAGAAAATGCTGATGTAGCGAATTTATCACTGGGAGAAAATCTGAGGGTTGAATCCATGGAAGAATCTACTGTAGAAGGTAATTTCACAGACAAGAGTTCTTTACCTCAACAGGAAATTTCAAATATAGAAATTAAGAAAGAGGCATTAGAGGAAGTTATCAATGAGCAGAGCAGTTCTGAATGTCAGCCAGCCAAGGGATTAGAGTCAGTGGAATCCAAAAGTAATGAAAGCAATGTGGAAACTTCGCAAGACATTAAAGAATTCAAAGGTGATGAGAAACTTACTACTGAAACTTCAAAAACTCAGCAGGAAAATACTGATGGAGAGAATTCATCAGGAGGAAACCAGAGGGTTATATCCACTGAAGAATCTAATGTAAAATTGAATGTCACAGACAAACATGCTGTACCTCAACAGAAAAGTATTAAGAAAGAAATAAATATTAAGAAAGAAGTATTAGATGTAGCTTATGATGAGCAGGAAAGGTCTGTCACTCAATCAACCAAGGGATTAAAGTCAGTGGAAACCAAAGGTGTGGAAAGCAATGTGGAAAATTCAGAAAACACTAAAGCAAATACTATTATTAAGGAGGAACAGCACACTGATATCGAGAAGACAAGCCACAGAGGGTCGATCATTAGTAATATTGTTTCCAGATTGGCAACTGTTGGCCCAAAATCACAAACTTTGAAAGCACAAGAGGAGGTTTGTTGTTTTTATCACCTTCATTATCATAATTGTTAATATTATTATTGTTGTTAACAATCATCATTGTCCTTAACTGTATGAATTAGTTTTTTAATATATAAGTAATGTTTTTATTAACTTGACTATACAGTACACACCAATAATAATGTACAACATTGTTATTTGACAATATGACAATTAATTTATTGTTTTAATCCATTATACAATTTGTTTACCTTTATTTATAGCATTATAAGGACTATTCAGTATAAACCTATTCTTGATTGTTAAGCTTTTCATAAATTTTACTGACCTCACAGTTTCCTTCAGTGGTTAGACCTACTGTACTGTCGTCATGTGGCCATTCAAAGTAGAGAGGACATGTAATAGAAGACTGCATTATCATAATATAAAAAGCATTATTTTAAATATTTATTTTTATTTTAGAATACTGGCAAGAGTGTTGAAGAACGTGCAAGTTCCTCAATTCTAGGCAGACATGTCAAAGGTGATCAGGAACGTGAACATATTAGGAAGTCACCTGGATCTGCAAGGAAGTTGCCAGTGTTAGCCCCGCTCCAAAAAATTGAGGAAGTTATTGTAATTAATGATGATAGCACCGCCGCTTCTACAGTGAGTGACAAAACCCAGGTGTTAGGCCGTCAAAAATATGCTTTATTTTAATGCAACATTCGATTGATTTGAGAATATAAAGAATTTCCTAAGTATTGAAGAACATGATCTGTTGGTCAAATTTGGAAAACCCACAAACATTTAAATTTCTCATAGAAACAGGCTCAAATAATTTATCAACTGTCACTGACACTTTTATTTAGTTTTAGACTTCTGCTTATTCACAGACCAATATTAAAAATTAACTTAAAATACAATGTAAGCAATTCATAATAGATTTTATTGTTCAAATTAATTACCCTTAGCAAATCCTTTGTTTTATTTCCCCCAAAACATTCTGGTTTTAATTGTGTGAATAATTGTGTTACCAAGTCATTATTATATTGTATCGCTGTCATTGATTGTAATCGGCTAAAATTTATTTGATTTTATAGCAGCAAGATCACCAAAGTCGCATCTGCTCAAACTGTTGTCAAGCGATTGCTGAGCCTTTTGTTGGCAAATGGACAACAATGACAGTATCTGGTCAGCTGAAGCAGTTCTGCTCAGTTTCTTGTATGAACATTAGCCCAACACAGCTCACACTTTGCTCTTACTGTAAAAAAGACCTGACAAAGGACAAGGTGGGTGCCCCAAGTGGACCCAAGGATAAATTCCTCGAGTTCTGTTCTCATGAATGTGTCCTCTCGTATGAGGAACGCAAAAAGGCTGGTAACTACTGCTATTGTGCTGTTTGCTCCAGTTTGGTTAATATAAAGGTAGGTTGACTATTACTCTTTATTTTATTTGTCATTGTTTATATATTAATTATTTTTTGAATAACATATGATTAACACTCTGACCGCCAGGAGTTTGAAAAAATAGTATCAGCCACCGCCAGTCTTTTTAGCAAATTGTAACACTTTTCTGAAGCTCGTTGAGAGTGTGTATGTGATCAGATGGACATGTAGTGACTACTACAAGAACTACAAACATCTTAGCTTTACAATCTGTGACCTGTAACAGTAAAATGAAAATGACTCACTTTTTGAGGTTTACACAATTTCGCACAGCGAAGCTGAGATAATCGCGATTTCGTGAAAGTAAAGCAATACCGCTCTACGCTAATGTAAACAAACAAATAGTGAAATACTTATGGTCCAGACTGAATATAGTGTTCAAATTGTTAGTACATGTCAGTAATTACCCCATATATCGGATTCCGTAAAAAAAAAAACCTGAAACACGGAGATCTCTGTGTTTGGCGGGCAGAGTGTTAAACAGGTAAACTGTCTAACTACCTCAGAGAGTAAGCCAATACTCATGCATCTTTTGGGAGATTTCGTGTCGATAGCAGATATGATAAAACATTTAAAATACTGTATATTTTTTTCAGAAATTCCCAGTTTTTTTAGGTGGCATTAATTTAATTATTATTTGACATTATTGCCATGCAACATGTTCGCAAAAAAAAGATGGGGGAGGCAATAACCCAGATGCAGGTGTGGTCGGACATTGCTAAAAATCTGTCAGAAGTGGTCAAAGGAACAAAACCTTCAGAAACTATGACAATTCAGGGATTTCAAAGGCTTACGTAATTCACTAATATGTAAAAAAGTGTTTTTTTTTTCTACCCAACTGATTGTATGTATCTTTTTTCAATGGGAGGGGGGTTTGAGCCAGCTCTTCCTACAGGAGCCACTCACAGTGTAGCATGAATATGAGTTTTCCAGTGTCTCTGTATGATAAAACTTTTATTTTAAATTTTTCTCTTTTTTTTATTTGACAGCAGTACAAATATAGCCTCAAGATGAAAGGAAATCTATTTCGCCTTTGTTCTCCCAAATGCCAGAAGGCATTTATGAAAATAAATCATGTTCAGCCTGTGAAGGTTTGCAGTGAATGTAAGAACAAATTCACACAGGAGGGTATATCCAAGGAAGTGAATGGCGTCAAGCAACTTTTCTGCTCTACCCATTGCCAGACTCAGAACAACTCAGTGCCAAATAACTACACAAACTGCCTTATTTGCAAAAAGATAAGCAGCTCAAAACAACTAACAGAAGTTGAAGGCCCAGATGGAGAGAAATTTCTTGTCTGTATTGGTCTGTGTGTTACAAGGTTGATGCACAGGTTGAAAACACGCGACATATCACTCCTACCAAAGGAATCTAATGTGGGAACCAACAAGAATTCCCAAAGTTTTGTGACACGTACACCGGGATCTACAGTACCCTCATCGATACCAGCACCAGCTGTTGCTAAGGACTCCCAACAACAAGTTGCAAATACCCAGTTGGGTAAATCGAGTACGTATGCTACCAATTCTGTTAATTGTAACCACTGCAATGTATACCAAGCTCCTCTGTACCACCTGACGATGAGCGATAGTACAGTAAGGAATTTCTGTTCGTACCCGTGTGTGATTGGCTTCCAGTCACAGTTTAATATGCCACCAGTCACACTGCCTCAGGAGGAGCTGAAGTTACAATGTGAATCATGTCTTAAAGGCTTTACTGGAAAACCTGTCACTCTGTCTTGGAAGAATGAAGTTCATTTTTTCTGTAGTGAAAACTGCTCTGCTACTTACAAAAAGGTAAGCCTTTGTAGATGCGTTTCATATTAATTAATATTTTTCTAACAAATTTTAAAGGTAAATATTATTAATTATATTAGTTTTAAGCTTAAACCCTTTTATTAACTCGTAAACCTATTTTTGTATCAATGAAAATTAAAATTTGTAGTTTATATGTGCTCTTTTTAAGCCTTACAGTATTATTTGGTTACACTTTACATTCTTATAATAATGATTAAATGTTTTTTTATGACATTGATTTTTTTTTTTACTGTAGACACATTGTGTTATAATACTCTGTGATAATTGTATTGAGGAACGTATTCATCATACAACAATCTACTTCTCAGGCAAGGAACGCAACTTTTGCAGTGAAGGTGAATTTTAAATTTTGTATTTAATCATAATATACATATTGAGGATGAATAATCAAGTAACTGATACAGTAGTTTGGATCCCTAAATAGAGACACTACAGCGCACCCTCCAATTCCAAGATCCTTCTAATTCCAGACCACCTTTTCAAAGAAAAAATAACAATCTTCAATCTTCTATTGACACAAGCAAATGTTTACATTGGTATAGTACATCTTGCAAAGGACCTAATGGTCCATAACCACGTGGTAATAGGGGTTGTTTGGACCAGTACACTGGGGTATCCCCCTACTTGTTTCGAAAAATTTACTGGGTTCTTTAAAGTGCACATGAGCCAATTGTGTACACTGGACCTACGGTGCATTGTCCTTCCAAGAAGACTTGTTCCACCATCAGGTGAATGTGCCACCCGAATCAGTGGCGATATTGTGGGTGTAGGTTGCGGTGCCCCTGCCTTAACTGCTCGGCCATTCTTCTCACCTAACTCTCTAATTGGAGACCAGAACCCCATGACCGTCCAAATTTTGATGTACTAATATGATCTTGAATTAGAAGGCAAAATTTTAACCTTAAAATTACAATGATCTATGGCTATGTGAAATTGCTAGCTGTTGAATGCGCTCGTTGATTGAGTTCGGGAGTAATCAGTTTTGGATTACCACCGATTACATCGCAACCGATCGTAGCAGTGTTAGTTGATGTTGTCACCTTGTACTTCTTGGTATAGATGAGCATTATAATGCAGCTTCTTGCCTCCCATATTACTAGTAATGAAAACCATGACTTAAAGAATATTATTTGGAAATAGTCACAGTATGAAATAAACGATGTTATTCCTTTGTTAGGTGATCAGTACGGAGGAGTTGTTAGCACCTCTTTATACCTAAACAAATTGAATGAAACACAGATATGGTTGTTAATTTGTTTAATTTATTGGAGATTTTAAGTAGATCTTTCCCAAATTGTGATAAAAGTGAATTGTTGTTAAGAGTGTTTTTTTTTTTTAATGGACAGGATGCCAGATGCTTTACAAGCAAAGCTTTACCCAAAAGCTAGGTCTTCGCTGGTGCATTTGTAGTTATTGCTCTCAAATCGGACCAACTGTTATTGAAAAGAAAAGTGAAGGACTTTCTATCAAATTCTGCTCCAAGAAATGCAGAGAAGATTATGATAAGTGGCAAAAACAACTTGTTAAGTAAGTGGAACAAAATATTATGTAGTCATTGAAGATAGTCATTGATATTATTCTATATTAAAAGTAAACATTAGTATTAATAGGTATACCATGATTACTACTTTGTTATTTATTCATTTTATTCAGGTATAGAAGTATACATAAAGTAGCCAATGGCTAAATTTATTGCATTTACAAAAATATGGATTTTTTAAATTATGAAATTGTACAAAAAACATTAATAGTTCAAGTTAGTAAACCACACTAATATATCTTGTGAACATTTAAAGAATGGTAAAACTACAATTTTTTAAATAATTGGACTAATTTTCAGGTGTGAGGGATGCAAACAGCAAGGACGCCTTCTGACGGAAACTTTCATGTGGCGAGGAGAGGTGAAGAAAGTCTGCAATCAACTTTGTCTGTTACTGTTCTACACACAGCAAGACATTCCAAATATGTTGACTGAAACTCAACAGAATCTCCAAAATGGAAAACAAACCACCAAAGGTGAAAATAAAGTCAATAATGGTGGACAGGGTTAAAGATTTTGACTATCACATCATTAGTATTGTTATATATTTTCATTAATTATTGATTCTTAATGTTAAGTATTGATGTTGGTCTTATCAGACTTGACTTGTTTTCATTTCAGTTGCTCCCAGCATTCCTGTTATTTCCAATGTTGTTTCCCTGGCCTCAGAACAGAATTCTGGAATCAAGAAAAAACCAGGTTTGTTACTATACTTTTAGAATATGTGAGTTCTTGCGATGCACCAAGTGGATGATTTTTTTATGGTGGACAGCTGGTAGGAAATGCATGCTTTGGCTGCATTCAGGAGACATGTTTCTCCTGAAGATAAGGCTGCTGTCCTAAACGCCTGGATGTTCTCGGCTACTCGTATGGTCTTTTTTGGGAATTTTCTAGACTATGTCTCTCAGGAATTCATTTATTGTTCATTATTCATTTTTTGTTAATTTCTCATTTTATATCTATGTTATTTAAAAAATGCATTGCCCACATGGTTGCATGCCACAAAAGTGTCATTCCAAGTAAATTGTTATATTTACCTCGGTTTTCTCTCTCGTAGTTAACTCATAAATATGTATATAGTGTCTATTTCTGGCCAGGAGGATAAAATATGACTGTGCCTTTGGTCAAGTTTTTTTTTTTCATTGTCATGTTGTCATGTATCGGTCAAGTTAGGATTTATTAATTTTCATTGATGAATCTTTTTTTCTCCTAATTTACAAGTTGAGATGGTGACTAAGCAGACTCAAATTACTACCACACCTATACAGCCAAAGCCAGTGCCGATACCCAGTCTACCGCCACCAAAACAAGTACGCAACAAGATGACCCTGTGTAAACCTATCCAGCAAACTAAGTCCACATACTGCAAGCCACTGACTATTACAAAGGAAACAAATACAGGTAAGTTTTTTTTCCATTTGTCTTGGTATCTTTTTTTTTTTTTTTTTGATACTTAAAATACATAAATCTACCAAAAAAAAGTGCATTATTAGCATGAAAAAAGCTGCAATACTGTACTTTTGTACAGTGAAGATAAATAAAAACCTACAAAAATTTTAAAAAGACCAAAAAATTATAAAACATAGAAAACATCCATTATTTCAGAATTGTTGCCATACTTATTCGTTTTTTAATTTTGGAGGCCCTTATTGGTTATATTTTTCTTTTTTTTATTTTATTTTATTATTTTTTTTGGTTGATTTTCTGTAAAATTAAAGGTTGAATTATTGAGTCAGAGTTTGTTTCATACTAAGTTACATCAAGCTTTGCAGGGGAATAACTCAATAATTGTTACTACATTGATCAATAATTACATGACATTCATTAATCACTAAACTTTAAAATATTCTTCTCTCATCCAATAGAGGATTTGTTTTTGGTCGTTAAAATGTTTGCCTTGTAATCGCAGGGTCCTGGATTCATTTTGTTACTCATTACTAAAACAGCTCCATTTCCCGAACCTCAGTGTGAAATGAAATTTGTGTATAAAATCATTACTTGGCCCTATATGAGAACAGTAGCTTAAAACTGAAGAGGAATAGTAAATTAAAATAAGGTAAATGAATATGTCTTTGTAGTTATAAAAACAAATTTTGTTGATGATTTCAGTTTGAATTTCCAGCTTTGATCACAACCATCTAATATTATTTACTGTTAAACTCACAGAAGGAGATTGGCGCCCGAAGCTAGTGGTGGTTCCAATCCCTGTACCAATATACGTACCAGTACCCATGCAGATGTATACCTCACCGGTGCCACACCCATTGGGTATCCCCACACCTGTACCCATACCAATGTTTCTTCCTGTCACCACCGATAATGCTGATAAGCTGATAGAGACCATCAAGGACATAAAGAATAGAACACCATCAGACCCTCTGGAAGCTGAGCTTCTTGCTATGGCAGATGCTATCGCTGGCAATGATGTAAAAACCGATGTAACACCGATTGATGACCCTGCTTCACCGTTGATAGATACCACAGAAATGTACACAGGTTTGTATAAGTATCTGCAATGAAGCATATTATGTAATGATGATAGCAGCAATGAAAGCATCTTGAATCTCAAATCTTAATGATTGTTGACCTCTTTTGTGTTGTTAGATGACATAGGACTTTTGACGGAGGAAGAGGCTGTACCAACTTGCGAAGAACCTGTCACGGATGAAGCAACTATCCACCAGTTGGAACAAGACATACTGGCATTGTCCAATGCAATGACAGGGGATACCATTCCAGAGAAATCAGAAAAAAGTAATGCCTCATTTAAGTAGTCTATTCATTAAGTACACTAAAATCCAATCAAATTTATTTCTCTTGCAAGATGGATAATGCATTTCGTTATTTAATCAAGTCAGTAAAACAAACTTTATGTAGCCATCTTTGCCAAGATTTGTGAATATGAAAATCGTAAAATTTTAATAGCAACTTATACAGTTATTATTAGAAATAAACATGTATTTTTATTGAATGTGTGATTCCTTCTCAGCTTCAGAAGGAGTGGTGTCTCGCTTAACAAGATCTGGTAGACAACCCACCAAGGCAGAAGTTAAGCAGCCTAGCCCAACAAAAAAACGAAAACGGGCAGGCCAACGATCGTCTACTCGAAACAAACGTACAAAAGTAGATAGTGAAAGCGAGGAAGAAAATGAAGTTGAAGAAAATGAGAAAGTTGTTGATAAACAAGCCGTCGAGGAGAGACACTATACAATTGGGATTGGCGCTTATAAATTGTGGGTGGCAACCAAGAACGCGGAACTAAAGCAGAAGTCGCAACAAGGAGGCAAAGCCTTCTCATTCAAAGTGGACATCCTGGCTAACACTTCAGATGAACTAAGTTACACCCTCTGCCACTTTGTCAAAGAAGCACGACAGCCAAACGGCGATGAGTACCCACCTCCCCTACTCTTTTACATCCTTCTTACCATCCAGCATCATTTATTCAACTCGGGTCATCCAGATAACATCTTTACAGACCTAATTTTCTCTCGTTTTATGCAGTATCTGATGGAGAAGATAAAACTATGGCAACCAGAATTTAAGCCCGGATCTCCTGTGGTCATTAACAGTAACATAACTGAGGAGTTGATGTGGGAATGTAAGCAACTTGGAGCTCATTCCCCTTATGTTCTGCTGAACACATTGGTTTATTTCAACACAAAATTTTTCCTCTTGAAGACTGTTCAGGATCATAAGGATCTTCTATTTGGCATGATGTTCAAGGATTGGAAAAAGAGTGGACTGAAAAACAAAATTGTCTGCTTACGATATTTTCCTACCAGGCTGCGAAAAAAACGTAAGTCTTCTATTTCCATGATTTGACCACATCAAAGCATACATTGACCAATGGTAATACTTTAGAAATGCTTTGACAAACATTGTTGTTAGTACCTATACTTACAATCATATACTTAATTATGTGTAATTTAGTGTCCAAAAACATTTGAGATCTGAATTTATAATAAGAATATTTTTACTCAGTTAATTGTGAAATATCTTTTTTATTTTTCAGTTGAAGCAACCACCTGTAAAATTCAAAAGAGGGATTTATTAGAAAAGAATTATTTGGAGCAAACAGAAAATCTTGATAATCCTCTTCAATGTCCTGTGAAGCTGTATGAATTCTACCTATCGAAATGGTAAGCATAACTGACTTGGCTACAATTCGTAAGTACAGTGTATACAGGAACACGCTGTAATACATTATATTTACGTAGTGGAAGCGGCTTGTGTAACAGTTGTGGCTCAAATTCTCAACTTGTTGGTAAGGGTTTGGACCCCTTCCTGTTCATGTAGCTTGCATCCTTTTGCAATAATAATAACAACAACAATAATCATGATTTATAATGCGCACATCTCCACCACAGGTGCTCAAGGCGCAGTGTCAAATTTCGCCTTAAAATAAAATAGATCCATAAGACTACAGTATGTTGTTAGGCTCAACTACCCTTGCCATGCACTATACTTTGAATATGTTGAAGTAAAGTCTCCTGTATTCTTGATCAAATTTTGGCATCCCACTCAAGAACCAATCTTCCTACAATCTGGAAGTGTCAGTCTATTTTATGTGAGGGAAAGGTTGTATTTTTGCATGCGCTTGTATTATACATGTGAGAAAACAAATCCATTAACAGTGACGTCAGTTTCGTTTGTCACTCTAATAAATATGTATTCCTACCAGTAATGTGAGAAAATTGTGAATACATGTGTGTGAGCATACTATAAATATAATATAATTTTTTTGGAGGTGTACTTACATTCAGACTGACTTTATCTTCGATTATGATGATGATTATGATAGCATATGAGTATGAATATTATTTATTGTACAATTCCAAATATTGACAGCATTCAATTTGAAAAGAAGTCCCTCTTTAGTTTGCAAAAGTAATCTTGAATATAAGCCCATCCAAGGGTCCCGAAAAAAGGAAGCCCAGGACTTCTATTCGAGGTTTTATGGTACCTGTATTTAAACTTTTGACTGTTTATCTTTTATTTTTATTAAAGATAAAATTTCTGCAATTGTTTTTTTTCAGCCCTGAGTCTGTAAAGGGCAAACAAAATTCACTGTACTTAATTCCTGAGAGGATGTGCATTCCAGACAGTCCGGTATGGTATTCCAGTTGCGTAGCGGAAGATGCCTTGCTGGAGAAGATGCTGGCAAAGACGCTGATGGTTAAAGACATCCACGAATACTGGGCAGAGAAGGGTAACAAGGCTGACGATGATGAAGATGGTGATGATGACTATGTGCCAGAAGACGATGACAGTTAAACCAAGTAGTCAATTGAAAGAAAGTTGGTGTAGAACCAGTGGCGGAGCTAGCATTTCCCCAGCGGCAGAGCAACACCCCTGACAGGCAGGGATAGAGTTGTGTTTGGGCCATTGAGAAAATTTTTGAAAATAATAAGCCGCTAGACACTCATACAGGGCATCTTGACATTTAAAATATAAGTCTATTTCGTGAATACTTACCTGGATAAACAAACTAATTGCCATTGTTCCCAAAATGGAACACACCTTAAAATATAATTTTTTTCTATCTACCAACTTTTTTCTATCTTCTAACTTCCATGATGGGGACTGGTAGCCCCTCCTGGTCCCCCATAGCACTGCCACTGTATAGAACATTAGTGGGTTATAATCAGGTTGTATAAAAACAAAAATGAAATTTGAATAATGAATTGTACAGTATAAATGATCTTTGATAGTAGAAAATAGTACAAAATGAATTATTTGTGATTATGAGGAAGTGGTGGTGGTGGCGGATAGAGGAATTGTGCATACACTATAAGTACTGTTGCCAGTATCAATTATACAGATGTACACAAAGTTTTAGTAGATAGTAAATGATTCTGCCTTGAGTTAAAACAAAAGTAGCTTTGATGTGAATTAATTTCATCATTTCATAAACAGCTCAATGAATTACCACGATGAAAAAGGTAATTTGAATACTGAAATAAAATTTACAGTAACCTACACAAACCTAATGGTGATAATAATACGAATGGCTATATTTAAACATAAATACCTCTTACTCTACAGTTTTAATTTGTACAATTTTAATTTTTGTTAATAAAATCTTTTTGAAGTAATACTCTGGTTAATTCAATACTTTTGTTAGTTTGATGAATTTTCAATTTTATCGTAGCTATTCATGTACTTTAGGAGTAGTGGAGTAACATTTGGGAGCTGGTCTACAGTCTACAAGTTAAAGATGTTATCTGCTGTAGACTACAGCAGTGACTTGAGCATGTGGACCCAATGACCTGGGAAAAAAGGCTTTGTTTTTAAACATAAAGGCGCTATATAACTGAATAGATAAATACTGTAAATAAATAAAAATAGAAATTCCCTTCATCAATATAGGTAAAAAAATTCACATTCCAATGCAATATACATACCTTGGTCATTATGTGCTACATAGATATTTAATATTATTCAATAATGATAATTTTACCTTGGTCATATTATTAAGAAAGTCTTAATTATTTTAATACTCTTTGTTCTACAGTTATCAATTATTGTCGCTCTTCAATTGATATTGTGATGTGATTCTGTCAGTTGGTAATTCTGATTGTTATCTGTTGTTTTGGTAATGGGTCGCTAGGCGTTAGATCCACCAATACAGTTTCTGGCAGCCTGTGTTGGTAATTCAAAAACATTGACAATTACCATAACAGTAAAGTCACATTCCAATCAGCCTAGTAGTAAGCATTGTAAATTAATATCCTGTACATATTTTTTTTTTTTTTTTGTACTTAAGAAGCCATTATTCTACTGTATATTTTAATTTTGTTTGTTCATATACTAGTTTTGTAGGTTGTTTTGTTTGTATTTGTAACTTAATTATTTTGATTTGATTTCTTTACATGTACATCAAAATACAATATTGAAGCATGGTTGAAGTAAGCTTTAACATCATAAAGGCCTCTGCAGACTAACAAATTTTATTTGACAAAAACATGCGACATGTCTAAGTATGGTGACATCACATGACATCACATTACGACCATATATAGGCACATCATGACTATATATGGGCATACAACAGATATTTGTCAAATAAAAAATGTTAGTCTGGATGGAACTTTAGTTTGCTTTCAAAGATTTTGTTTAGTTAGTGGATTTCAAATAATATTAATAATGTTATACAGTATCTTCCAAATAGGTGCATTTTGATCACACTCAACCTTGAGGTTGTGTTGTGGCCAAGGCCATATGATTTTGAGCAAGCTATATCTGAAATCATCTATCTCCATTTGGAGTATAGTATGATTTAATAACATTGCATCAATGCTGAAAGTATTGCGCTATAAAATCCAATACAGTACAATTGAACTATTGTCTCATCCATTTACCTACTTGTGTATTGCTGCTTCTTTTAGTTTCTCGTGTTACATTCACCCCAATAATAATCTGAAATATAAGACGCTATAGATGTTCTCGGGAGTGACGGAAAATGCTTGCTTTTCAAAATCCCAATGAATGTACTGTAATCAGTGGCTGTAACACAGACGTTCCTCGTTTGTCATTGGGGCAGCAACAGAATGTAGATAAAGACCCTGCACATGAACGTCAAATAGAGGAGAGATTATAATATAACAATATGTATTCAAGTAATCATAAGAAGAGATGATGTCTAAATCATTCTTATGTCATCTTAATGATTTCAAAATCGGGATCATGTTTACTGATTGACTATGTTGTACTGCTTAAATATTTTGGGTCAAAATAATAATAGTTTAAAAAACTGTATTGTATAGTAGACATTTATTTTTTGTAAATTATTTCATTTTCTTTGTCAGGTACAATACTGTAAAGTTTTAAAAAATGATATGGTTACAATGAAATATACTGTACAAGATACCATTGGCGGATCCAGGAAGTTTAATGGAGGTGGATCCAGGGAGGGACTAGACCACTTCAGCCCCACCATGGTTAGGGCTGAGGTAAGAAAATTTATGATTATGGCACCTCTAGATAGCCGGAAATTTCACCCTCAGACTTAAATTTGAATATACATTACAGGTAATTTTTTTTTTTTCTCCATTTTTTGGAGGTGGACCTGGGTGGCTCCACACAGCCCCCCCCCCCCAATTTGAATCCGCTACTGCTTACTGTTAATAAATTGGCTTGAAAATAGCAGCAAATAAAGTGTATCAATTATGCTGTGGACAAAGGCACAGCAAAATGATGATGATGATAATTGAAAGAAAGTTGGTTTAGAACCAGTGGCGGCGCTAGGATTTTCCCTGATGAAAGGTCAGTTCCCCCGACAGGCAGGGAAAGAGTTGTGTTTGGGCCGTTGAGAAAATTTTTGAAAATAAGCCGCTAGACGCTTCACCTAAATTTGTTTTTTTTTTAAATATAATTTTTTTCTATCCACCAACGAATCTTCTAACTTCCCCCGACAGGGAGGCTGTAGCCCCTCATAGTCCCTTATAGTGCCGCCACTGTATAGCCTTAACATCAGCGCTGGTTCAAGCCGCTTTCTTGTACAGTTTTCTCGGATGAGGACTTAAAACGGGAGGTCCAGTCTATACTTCTTGGCTTTTGTGCACTTTAAAGAACACATTGCATCTTTCAGAAGAGTGGGGGGGGGGGGTTCTCTCCGATTCTCTGTTTCATTTAGCTCCCGTCGTCGTGGAATGACGTGAACTAATAACGCATCTCTACGGCCCATGCGCAATTCAGCACAATGACGCTGCGGGTTATGGGTTATTACATGTAAAAGAAAAATGTAATGAATTGAAAAAGTGACTGACAATAAGTATTTCTTAGCCTTGAGAATGTTAAGTAGCCCTATGGATAGAAGATGACTGTTCGTGAAGCACATTAATATTTCAGTAAATAATCCTCGGCTAAAATACTGTAACATAAAAGAGAAGTAGGAGTAGAAATTATAAGAACGTGATACTATCCGGGGAAAAACGATGCAAAGTGATGTATTATACCAAGGATTGTTGGAGTGTCGGGAATATTACATGACGAACATAATCAATGAAGAAGCGGTGTTTTGTTTTTACTAGAGCGTGAACGACGTTTTCTATACGCGATACGTTACGACAGATGAGACATGTAGAGATTTTCGTAATATGATTTAAAAGGAATATTCGTCGTTAAAATTGTAATAAAAGTCTACGTATTTTTAACAGTGTTATTGCAGCGAATGTATTATTTTCACTGTTTTTTTTTTTCACGCTGGTGTTTTTCAACAAATGGTATCGAATGTCATCGCTAACATACAACAAGGCGTCTGCATTCGTCTATTCAGCGGGAAGTTCGTACTCATAGCTAGCTGTAGCCTAGCTGAATTAGCTGTAAGTACAGTTTATTTGTATTCTAAAATGCGATTAAAGAAGATGAATAGGTAGTATACCGTATTCACTGGCGTGCCTATGAGGTGATTGGGGGTGGAGGGGGGGGGGAATCTCTATGCGCCCACAACATACCACCCCTCTCCCCCCACCCACCACTTTCTACTAGCGCCATTCACTTTCCCTTCTTCACAAAAGGTCCCCCTCTTACTACCTCGACATCGCCTTTACTAATATGAGTAAAAGGACAAAAATGTTTGTACGATTTACCGGTAGGCCTACTGTAGAGTATAATTGTTTATTGATTAACTTGTCGATTTCGAACAACTAAAATAGAACCTGTTTAAAAAATGTTATTGATTTTGCTATTCCCCGTGTAGCAGGATATGCTGGGGTGGGAACTCTCCTTCCCACAGTGGCAATTAAAACTGTAAGGGAAAGTACTATTAATAGAGTTATTTTATTACACATTCACAAGTTTTTGCACCCTCAAGGCCGGGCCCAGCCAACACCCATGTGTAGGGTGATGAGGTAACTAATATGATTAAAATCAATTGGATTTTATTGCATTGGATAATTACAATGAATTTCTTAACACTCTACGCCCAACGCACATTTGCATTTAATAAATTAATGATTAAAATTGATAAAGCTATAGTGCTAGTAGTGAACGACGTATTTTGTTTCATCACAAGTAGATATTAAAAACTCAGTGCCATCTGTCCGCTAATTAACCATTCAGAAAATGAGTGCGTTTACCAGTACACTGATATGGCCGACAAGAGGACTATTGTTCCATACGCTAGCCTGTTCATTGGTAAGTTTTGTTCTTGTTAAATCTTTAATTTAAAATTATCAGTAATACGAGGCGAGGCTTACTACATCTGTTAATACTGAAATTATATCAAAAATACTGGTTGTAATAACATTTAGAGAACAATCCCACATTCAAATCAAACATTGAGATGATAAAATATATAGGTCTATCCTAATATTTAAAACTTACTAGAATCTCCGGATACTATAAAATTATTGAAGCAGCAGAATCAAGTTTAAGTCCAAACGATAGATAAAAGTAGGCCTATACCTATATCTATACCTGTCTCTTATACACATCTAGATGTGTATAAGAGACAGCCTATATATTTTATCATCTCAATGTTTGATTTGAATGTGGGATTGTTCTCTAAATGTTATTACAACCAGTATTTTTGATATAATTTCAGTATTAACAGATGTAGTAAGCCTCGCCTCGTATTACTGATAATTTTAAATTAAAGATTTAACAAGAACAAAACTTACCAATGAACAGGCTAGCGTATGGAACAATAGTCCTCTTGTCGGCCATATCAGTGTACTGGTAAACGCACTCATTTTCTGCTGTCTCTTATACACATCTAGATGTGTATAAGAGACAGGTATGATACACGCTTGTGAACAGGTAGATAGACTACCCTCTCCATCAAGGAATGGGCCTCCCGTGGATGCAACGTTGAGGAGGAAGCTGTCTTCCTTAAATCTGATTGGTCGGTTGCTTTTACTACACATAGTGATGTAGTATCGCCGTAAGCGTCGACACCAAGCTTTGATAAGATTTTGATGAATTTTGTTGGATTACTCTGCAGAAGAGAATAATGTATTTTGATGGTATAATGATGGTCATCTAATAATCGCAGATCGTAAACATATGTAGGTTTACAATTCTTAGCCCAATGCTATTTAAAAAAAATTAATAGGCCTATTTAAAAAAAAAGTTTATATCGCTCTGAGTAGACCCCACTAGAGGCTCTGTCTCTGTCCGATCAGGTGCATTTTTACCAATTTTACCTAGGGCCCGGCAGTTATCTATGCCATAGTCACCAACCGTCACGCATCACTTCAAAGTGATATTGGATGAAACGCATTTTGCAGAAAAACATGCGAGGTCATAAATGTGTCACGAATTTAGCACTTGCGTAATAACGAATTCAGGGGAAATCGTATTTGAAATTAGAAGAAATTGGTTTTATTAAAAATATAAAAACGGTATACAGTAGCTTGAGTCATTGGGAGCTTTCTTTATCTCGTTCGAGAATCAATTCACAGAGAAAATTTCTCCTTTCCGACCAAAACAACCCAGCCATCCACGTACTTGTAGAATCTAGTAGTCGCGAGCAGTCTTGCGAGTTTATTGTTACAACCAACCGTTTAAAATGTGACGGGAACCCGAACTTCCGCAGGGGTTCCGTAATAATAAGTTCCAATCTGCTTGAGACCAGGGACGTATCCAGGGAGCCGTGGGAGCTGCGGTCCCCCCCCTTTGTACACAGTGTTAAAATTTTAAAGCTTATTCTTGAGCCAATACAAATTCTTTCGTGGGATCACTCAAAATGAATACTTCTAAACATGTAAATATGCATCAGTACACGTTATATACATAGGCCTAATAGAATACATAGGCCTAAGCGTGATTTTAAAAAAATTTTAAATCCATAAATCTCAGGCCGGGTCTTTTAAAATAGAAATGCGATACTGTGGTTCAATTTCGTTTTTATCCTTTTGCAAGTTTCTTTAAATGTTTGTTTAATAATACTACTACTAATAGTAATAATAAAAATAACAATGATGATGATGACGATATAAATAATTGATAATAATATTAATAGCAATAAAAAGTATAAAATTGTGCTAAATGCGAAAAAAAAAAATTGTGATTTGTTGATCATAATATAGTATATATAGTTAAAGCTTAGTAAGCTATAATTAGGCCTAAGTTGTTCTGGATATTAAGTAGATCCCTGATAAAAGATCATGAGAAATTTGTTGGCGTTTCATTTTGACTATAATGGTAATGTGATGATGATGAAATTTACTATATAAAAGTGTCATTTCCCGGCCATCTCGAGAGGTATTATTTCCTCAAATTTTCTCACCTCAGCTCCAGCCATGGGGTGGGGCTAAGGTGGTTGTGGAATCACGTTTTTGAAGTAGGACTATGTAAAGTACATACTCAAAGACAATGTTTTTAAGCTTTTTTTCTATGGTATATCACACACACATTAATAAGATCTCTATGGTTGCCAAAAATCCCTGATAAAAGATCATGTTTGTTTAATAATACTACTACTAATAGTAATAATAATAACAATGATGATGATGACGATAGTAATAATTGATAATATTAATAGCAATAAAAAGTGAAGAAGATTGTGCTAAATGCGAAAAAAAAGTTGTGATTTGTTGATCATAATATAGTATAGTTAAAGCTTAGTAAGCTGTAATTAGGCCTAAGTTGTCCTGGATATTAAATAGATCCCTGATAAAAAATCATGAGAAATTTGTTGGCGTTTCATTTTGACTATAATGATAATGTGATGATGATGAATTTTACTATATAAAAGTGTCATTTCCGGCCATCTCGAGAGGTACTATTTCCTCAAATGATCTAGAGATGCCCTAATCATAAATTTTCTTACCTCAGCCCCAACTATGGTGGGGCTGAGGTGGGTAGTTCCTCGGTCTGTGAAAGTTCCTCCCTGGTTCACCTCTCTTTCGAATTCCTGGATCTGCCACTGTTACTGAAATCATATTAAAAATACTGGTTGTAATAACCTTTAGAGAACAATCCCACATTCAAATCAAACATTGAGATGATAAAATATATAGGTCTATCCTAATATTTAAAACTTACTAGAATCTCCGGATACTATAAAATTATTGAAGCAGCAGAATCAAGTTTAAGTCCAAACGATAGATAAAAGTAGGCCTATACCTTCTATACATTACACAAACATTTTTAAAAAGCCTACAGTACCGTACATATTGTCGGATACATAAAGATATTTATTCGAAAATCATGTTTATACAGTTTATTAATACAAAGGTGGATCCAGAATTTTTCAAACAACAGTTTCAGAATAGGTAAGCGAGAAGCAAATAACATTGATTTGCAATGAAATTTTCAAAATTTAGTGGCAAAACGGGGTGGGGGTGGCACGTGCTCCCCCGTTCCCTACTGGATCCGCCCCTGTATTAATAGACTAATAATTATATATACTGTATCAAGTTGAAATCATAGTATATTTCCATATAAATCCACGTTCCAATAATATTTAAATGCATAAAAGAGGCATCAATTTCTCTTATCGAGTACCGTATCATAGCCACTGTTCATTACAAAGAACAATAGTAGGCCTACCATTTAAGCCCTCTTGTAGTTTTGTCTGCTCATGAATGATTATTTACAACCTAGGGTTTGTTTTTGTATATTTTTAATTATCATGCCTCTGCAGTTGTCGTATTTTCTGTTTATTATGGTATGTAAGAATGGAAATTACAATATTTGTTTTAGAATTTTTTTAACAGTTGTTGTTGATACGTAATTTCTAGATGCATCATGGCTTGACGTTTTAGCAGCTGTTTCCATGACGATAAGGTCAGATCATCGTGAGAACCGAGAACAGATCAAACGAAAGCTGAAGGATATATTCCAGAACTTCAACAATATAAATGATGTGATCCCGTGTTTGTCTGTGAGGTCAGGACTTGACCTGTACTTGCGCGTCAAAAAGTACCCCATGGGGTCAGAAGTCATAATGACCTCTGTGAATATCCCAAGTATGAGCGCAATACTGGAGCATCATGGTCTAAATGTGGTACCCTGGGATATCCTTATAAGTACCTTGATACCAAAAGTGGATACCTTGAAACAGATTATTACACAAAAAACTGTCGCTATTTTAATAGCCCACATTTATGGTCGATATTCTAATATAGATGATATAATATCTGTTGCTAAGCAACATAATTTAGATGTCATCGAAGATTGTGCAGAATCGTTCAGTGGCCTGGAAGTGCTTGGCAATGCCAGGGCAGACATTTCTTTATTCAGTTTTGGAATCATCAAACACTCAACCGCCTTTGGGGGCTCCCTGGTCAAAGTTCATGACCCTGACCTAGCAGACAAGATGAACGCCTTACACGAGACGTATCCTTTACAGAGCAGATACGAGTACATGAAGCGAGTTTTAAAGTATGCAATATTAATGCCATTTGTAAATATACCATGTATTACATTATATGGAAGCATCATTGCACGTGAACTATATCCTGATTACAAGGAAATATTTGTTCATCTCTTACACTCATTCCCAAAGGATTTGATTGAGAAAATACGTCATAAACCATCCACAGCATTAATGTTCATGATGTACAGAAGGTATGGATTCGTCCACATTGTTATTGTTATTTGTCATTGTTCACGCCACCTCAGGTAAATGTGTGGGATTGAGGCGGATATGGTTGACATTAATGTACTGCTTTGCCACCACACCTTTTTATTACTAGGCCTATATTTATTATACTTTTCTTATTAAATCCTTTTTAGTTGTTGTTAAGCACATAGAGGCAGTTCTTGCAATATGCGCTATATAAAAATAGCAATTTATTATTATTATTATAATTACACACACAATACTATATCAAATTTACAGTTCATTTTAATCTGAATGCTTTACGTGTCAAAGTTGCTAGCTCCGAACTTAAATAGATACCATTATTCGAATAAACGCCCCGGGCGATTATTGTCGGGGAGGGGTTTTGAGTGGGCGTTTATTCGAGGAAGGCGTTTATTTTGTTGTGTAAAATGGATATGTTATAAACTCAAATAACGCCTCTTAATTTACTGTAAATGTGGAACTACAACACAACAATTACCGCCAAAATGTGTATTGCGTGATCAGACTTATTGATCCCAGTTAGAAAAAATGTAATTCTACTGGAGTAGAACTTAATAGATTGTGTTGAGAATAATGTTGCTTCCATTAGTTTTGTTTACAGTCATTTGGTGGGGTGGGGGCGTTTATTCGAGGAAAAAATAAACGCCTCTTTATTTCAAATGAGACTGTGGGGGTGGGGGCGTTTATTCGAGAGGGAATTTATTAAAAGAAAGGCGTTTATTCAAGTAAAATACGATAATAAATGACACGATTATGTAAAGAACAATTAAATTAATTGTGTATTATTATTTTTTGAGTATTGCAAAGCCATCATTTTCTCGCTTGATAGCGCACAAAAACATAAATAGGGGCTTATTGTTCTGTATTTTATGTTTCACAAGAACACATAGATAACATAGGTTATAGAGTACGAATAATAATAATAGGTTGTGTTCATGTTATCTAATATCAAATTAATTATGTTATTGTTTCTTTTTAGGTTGCAGCAGTTTAACCCAAAGGCTTTCAAAGAAGGGATGAAGAAATATGAATACTTATATAAGAAACTTCCAAATCCAAGTATGATTGTTGGATCAGAGAATATATCGGCAAACTATTGGCTATTTCCTGTACTTGTGGTAAGTCGACACGGAGGAAACTTTTTGACCAATTTACAATGAACCGTTCTGCTAAACCCGCCTCTTGGAATGTTGCTAATTAAGGTTCCACAATATGACGATATACATGGCCGGACTGTAAAATTGCTATGGGACATGCGCGTGATCCCCTTGTTGCGCCTATCAGATAACATGTTCTGTTGTGCAGTATTTAAGCTTATATCTATTAAAATGACCCGTCTAATAACCATAATATTAAAGAGTAATTCATTACCAATTTCCACATTCAAAAAGCTTCTTTCTCGATTAAAAGCAGAGTTGAATAGCATGAGATTGGAGCGATATAAACTTTTTTTTTAAATAGGCCTATTAATATTTTTTTTAATAGCATTGGGCTAAGAATTGTAAACCTACATATGTTTACGATCTGCGATTATTAGATGACCATCATTATACCATCAAAATACATTATTCTCTTCTTCAGAGTAATCCAACAAAATTCATCAAAATCTTATCAAAGCTTGGTGTCGACGCTTACGGCGATACTACATCGCTATGTGTAGTAACAGCAACCGACCAATCAGATTTAAGGAAGACAGCTCCTTCCTCAACGTTGCATCCACGGGAGGCCCATTCCCTGATGGAGAGGGTAGTCTATCTACCTGTTCACAAGCGTGTATCATACCATCACCTTGACAACATCTGCTCTGCTTTGGAAATTGCCATGGAAACACTGAGATCAGAGGAAGAGCAAGAAAAATGTACGAAGTTAAAGTTGCAATTCAGGAGTAAATTGTGATAAAAAAGATTTGCTTCATAAGAAAAAATACTTTAGTCTAACTCTTATAGCACCTCCCTAATTTAGTCTTTTCGCATAGTTTTAAATGCCGTATTTATTCGAAAATTCGCCCCGGCGCGTTTATTCGGGTAAGGCGTTTATTTTTTTAGTGTAAAATAGATACATATAGGGACTATTGGTACTCAAATAAACGCCCCTTAATTTCACTGTAAATGTGGAACTACAACACATAATTACCGTCAAATTGTATGATCATTAAGATAATTTGATCTTAACTAAGTTAGCAAAAATGTCTACTGGAGTAGAAAATGAATATAATGTGTTGAGAATGATGTTGCTTCCATTAGTTTTACAGTCATTTGGCGAGTTTATTCGAGGGAGGCTTTTATTTCAAATGAGGCTCTGGAGTGGGCGTTTATTATTCGATAGGGGCGTTTATTCAAAGCGGGGTGGGGGGTTTATTCGAATAAATACACTATGTATACAGTGCTCATCCAAAGAAAGAAAATTTTGGGCAAACAGTATTTCATTAAAATACGCGATGAAAATGATTTAGTTACGCATATATTAGCACGGTGGCGTTTTTGCACAAATGTCTATACATTAATTTGGTGGTTAGAATTCATAATGCTTTTATAAGCTTTATACTTAGTTAGCACTTTAGAATGTTGTAATACATTCAGGCTCTCATATTATTGCACAGGTAGGTTAGAGGTCTTACGAACAAAATTTTATTTTCTTAATTTCCGATTATTTATTCATTATATTTTCATATGTTGTCTTTGTTCTGCTGTGATCAGTGCAATTAATGATGTCTATTTTGTTTACGTTTAAATTTAAGGTGATATATATATTGTGTTCAATTATTTTAGCATTAATATTGATTAAATGAACTTTATTATGAAAATATGTAACTTAGTAAGAAGTAACTGTATTAAAAGCAACGTTTTTGACCGTGGTTCTTGTCAGCTAGTGCAATATAATAACGTTACTATCGGTCACAATAACTCTAACTCAAACCCTTATCTTCTCACAACTATCATCATAAGGGCTATCGCTTATGAGGCGTACACACTTAAGTAGGTCTATACGTACTTTTAAACTACGTTTTTATAGTTATACCCGCTATCATAACTATTTGTTGTAGGCCTACATTTCGATGAGATGATCAAAATCACAGATGTGCCTAAATTGAATGACTTTATGTCAATTGTTGAGGTTTTCATGTGTAATTTTCGATCAGTTAGCAATAGTATTGAATGCAATGAACAACTCAGTATTATTTTTTTTATGCAAAAGTCGTAATTATTACAACTTATTATAGCAATAAATGCAGACTAAAACTGGTATATTTTTTTGGTAATACTTTATTTCGGACATGACTAATATCGTAAATATATAATGCCATTCACATTTTCAGCGAAAAGCGCCTATAAATTTTTATCGATCAATAATGAGAACTTAGATATGCGTGTCTAAGGTTTGACCTTTTGTACAAAACTTTACTCCATCGTATCGTGTAATTAGGCCTATTTAATAACAATTACTAAAAAGAATGTTGACAGAATAATATAACATAAATACAACAAAAAATTGTATGATAGAAGTATGCTCTAATCTTATCTAATGTGCAAACACAGCTGGCCATATTCAATTTTTTTTACATCAGGCCTACCATTAAGTACGGTATATATTTTGAATTTGGAACAAAAACTTGTCTGAATCGATAACAGTGCAAAATATCAGAGACGAATACCTGAGCGGTTGATATAACGTTAAGTGGCAGTGTCGGATTATGCACGATTTTGTGGATTATTTGCAGAATGCCTACAGAAATTGGAGTTAACGAAGACTTTTAATTCTTCATAAAGTTTCTTTGTTTTTCCAATTTTAACATCTTCTGTTGACATTTTTATTGATGGATATATCAAGTTGATACACAGGAAAACTGAATGAGCGATAAAGAAACATAAAAGACCACTAGTAGTATTTTATTATCTACATCGAATTTTCAAATAGTGACCATTGAATGGCTTTTATTGCGTTTTATTCGTTCCTTTGAAGATAAATTCTTTTTTCTTTAAATATTTGATAGGTTTTCAGAGTTCATCACGACAAGCTTGTAGGCCTATCTATATATTGAAACGCTCATTTAAAACGCATCGTTACGACAATTACTTACATGCTTCGATGAATGTCATCAACCTTTACGTGAAATTGTTATCCAGGAACATTAAATGTTACGGGAGCTGCTTTAAGTAATGTTTTTGTCACGTGCATTTGATCAGACGACAGTCTCGGGGGGTGCTGTAGCACACCAACGCCAAGCACAGGGCAAAAATGTCATTAGTTTAAATCTTTAAACATGCATACAAAATATTAAATTAAAAAAAAAATGAAAATAAGGTAATTTGAGTCTGTGAGCTAAAGAATACAGTCGGTCTAAACAATCGTGAGAGGAACACTTTAAAATAACGGTACTGGCGGTTAACAATGTGTGCACAGCCAATTACCCGAGTGCTAAGCATCTTCAAGCTCCAACACGTATATTCTGATCAACATACATGAATTAACATATGAATATTGATAGACCCTCTTCAAACCGCGAGTGGTAGGATTGTTGATAATCAATTTCTCTTCATCCTCTGGGTCTTCCACTTCATGACGAAATGTTTACTCGGCATACACATCTTAACGATGACTGATGGACTTTTCATGTTCCTGTCAAATGAAAAGCTGATACCACTCCTCTTGTGCAGTGAATTATCGGACGGGTTGAAGAATAATTATTCTGTCGTGATTTAAAAAGAGAAAAGGATATTAAAAGGGCAACCATTATATAGCCGGATCGGTGTAGCAGCCTGCGTCGTAGTTACACTCTGACAATACATTACGATCAATTCTGCGTTTTACAATCGTCTTCGTGGGCGAATGGTTCAATATTAGCCTAATGATTATAGGCTATCGTCTGGCTCGCGTTAATGAGGATTGGATTTAATTGGTTTTGAAATTACTGTAGCGTCTTCAATCTCTGTAATGGTGGAACCGAACAACCACATTATACTTAAATGCTCGAAGGGATTGAGATGCGAGATGATATATGGGTAAATGGTATTCTCATGTGTTCTGTCGAATAGTGCGACAATAGTGTGAGTTGAGATATTGATCACCACAGAGCGTACAAAGTTTTTTGTTAAGAATGTTTGTTACATGAAATTGTACGAGTAGCATGCACCAGTGTCGGATCACGATTATTCAATTGGAATTTTATACTTCACCATCTGTCTGTTATTTTATTCGTTAAGTATCCTACCGATTGTTAGTTGTAGGGTTTAAATAAACTTAATAGTCTGAGTGTTACGCTTGTTGTCGTTTATAATTAACAAAGATATGAAATGACAACAAGTGGAAAAAAGATTATTGATTTGTCACAAGAAATGACAAGAGCTCAAAAGGCTATCAAAAATGAGGAAAGAAAACTACAGGTGATATTCAACGAGATGACAACAAAAAATCACATAGAGGCTGTGAAACACTACACAGAGATGAGTGTACTAAGAAAGGAGCTAGAGAGCGTACGGCTCGCCAAGGCACGCACGACACAAACTTTCACTGCGCGGCAGGTTGCTGGGCTGGAGACCCCGCCTCTTGTATCGAGAAAAAGCGCCAGTGTCGTCAGACCTCCGCCAAAGTGCAGGCGTCGTATTGTTTCAACTCCATCGTCTATCGGAGCCCGCGATAGGGTATTATCCGTGTGCTCCGACAGAAGGTTATCATCGTCGATGAATATTTGGTCACGCGATACACCATCGATGATGACATTTTCGAACGGTTTACTTGGAAACGCTCGACCAAGTCACTGGCCGAACATTCTAAACAATGAACAAACAAATGAACGTTCTATGAGCTCATTGTCCCATCGATATGGCAATGAAAGTTACAAAATCTCTCCGCATGAAAGTAAGTCCACTTGGATGTACTGTCGAGGTTCGTCAAACGAATCTCCCAGACAAACCGCGTCGATAAAGACTCTTAAACCACATCTGCTGTTCGTTTCACCTGTCGGGGACGCGCCGATGACAATTAACAGCAAAATTTGTGCCGAATCAATGACCAGTTGGAATGGATTAAAGAATGATAAATCATCATCATCGTCGATTTCGAAAATAGAAGAGTTAAAATTGAAGGCTAAGCATCAGGAATTACTAGTGGCCGAGAAAGTTAAACAATTCATACATACTCTATCGTCTTCAGAATAGTTATACAACCAGCCACTGTCAATTCAACGAAAACACGTTGGCTACTGTAGGCCACCCAATGCACAAACATTTATTCACTCAAAGGAATAGGGGAAATTGTTCTATCATCTTGTAATGCAGAAAACGAAAGTTTTATCTAGTGCGATGAATTTTGCGATGCTGTACACTGTAAAAGTTGACAGTAATTAAAACAGCATTGGTTAATACTATTTCTTCTTATTATATTGTTGTTATTGTTTGTCATCGTCTCCGAACATTGGTTGGTCGTTGCCTTGTACTGCAAACTTATACTAATATTCAGGGGCGTAACTACTGTTTGGGCACCCAGGGCAAGGATGGAAATGGGACTCCTTTCAAGCTTGGAAATTTGTTTGTTCCGGGCTTGTGCTCATTTAACATGGAAGTTCAATATTTTTGTCCAGGCTCGTTGGTGCACACACCACTTCGGCTCTCCGCTCAAGTGCCTTTTTAATTGGTCTGCGTCCCTCTATCACTCCTAATGCTAGGTGTACTCAATGTGCCCGACGGTCGCAGGCCGATGCGACTCTATGGTGATCTAAACATCAGAATGACGCGCACGCAACAGATTGTTTTGGAGTCAACTTTCATAAGAGACGTAACACAAGGCAACGCAAGCATGATCACTCAAGCATAAGTCACTGAATCGCGGTTTCCTGTCAAATCGTGGAAAATCGACGTATCGCATGAAAATTCAATACAACGGTTTCCTGTCCAACATTGCTTTGCGACGATTTAACCTTACGTTACGTCGATTTCACAACGCACCGGTCGCAATCGGTTTCCTGTTAAATCGCATTTTGTTACGATAAAACGACGTAGTCGTAAGTAAATCTGCCTTCTTACGTCGACAGGAAACCAGGCTTTAGGAGTATACTTCACATGTTGAGTCAGGTATTTTGTTACATTTTTCGAGTGAAGTGTGGCTGAGTGGTTAATGCTGGGGCGCCATATGGTAATAAACCAGACCCGGAGCCTTGGATTAGGCGGTGGTTCGAGACCGTTGCCCAAGCTGTATGTAGTAGAACCGAGTTCTCTGGTTTAAGATTATTATATAACCTAGGCCCGGTGTAGGCCACATAAACTAAATCGTGTAGACGGTGGGGGGGGGGGGGTACCCTGGTGTTCTGGTCCCAACCCCAGTGTGGATTAGACGTGTGCGCGCACCCGCAGATTACCAGCAAAATAACAAAGGGCAAAGGAAAAAGTTTGTCAAGCGCATCTTAACCGCAATACATGTACAAGAAAAAGGCGCTAAGTAAGTACTCGTAACATTAAAAGTTTTAATGGTAGGCCTACTCGCAAATGACAATGTACGCATGTTGCATGTAACGAGCAAAAACATGCCTATTTTAATTTATGTACACAGTATTGGGGGAAAAATGTTTTGATTCCAATGTTGAATGGTCTCGCTTATACCAACGTAAACGCAAACCACTCACTCACGCAAGAACGCACTTGTCACCTGACAAGTTAGAGCCCCAAAATTCGCCCCCGGGGCCCCATGACGTTATGCCACTAATTATAGCTATATCACTAGTTTGACTTTGTATTGTATTTGTTTTTCAATTTACGATTGTAATTTTAAACACGGCGGATCAGACTCCTACTTCAAATTACACAGTTGCCAAGTAGGTATGGAATTTTGACCGTGATAATTGATAATATTCTGGGCCTGTATCTCATTTCGTGGGAAATATTTTCATCGCATAGCAACCTCATGTCAATTAAGATAACTCGTCGTTTACGAACAGAATGATGACGATCAATAACTGATAATTCAGTGAACATTTTTTAATGTAGACTTATAAGATTTATAACGCGCATATTGTCATGGAATCTATGCGCATTTATTGGAACAGGCGCCTTTGAAGCACACCATAATATTGCATCAGTAAACAGGGTATTGCTGACAGGTACCCCTTATACTTCTATGAAGAGAGAGAGAGAGAGAGAGAGAGAGAGAGAGAGAGAGTGAGACAATCGAAATTAAAGTGCCCTTCCTAAGGACAGAAGCAAAATTCACAGCGAAGGTTCGAACCCTGTCTCTTATACACATCTCTCATTGTCCCATCGATATGGCAATGAAAGTTACAAAATCTCTCCGCATGAAAGTAAGTCCACTTGGATGTACTGTCGAGGTTCGTCAAACGAATCTCCCAGACAAACCGCGTCGATAAAGACTCTTAAACCACATCTGCTGTTCGTTTCACCTGTCGGGGACGCGCCGATGACAATTAACAGCAAAATTTGTGCCGAATCAATGACCAGTTGGAATGGATTAAAGAATGATAAATCATCATCATCGTCGATTTCGAAAATAGAAGAGTTAAAATTGAAGGCTAAGCATCAGGAATTACTAGTGGCCGAGAAAGTTAAACAATTCATACATACTCTATCGTCTTCAGAATAGTTATACAACCAGCCACTGTCAATTCAACGAAAACACGTTGGCTACTGTAGGCC